ATTTTACCTCAGCAGGTAACTGGGACCATTCATGGCCAGAAGGGTACACGTCTTTTTGTTAAAGGGGAGGCGGGGGGGTAGGGACTCCACCAGTCGCTGAGAAACTTAGGAGCTTAAGTTCTCTTAAATGTTATTCCCTCCTTTCGGGAATCAAACTAGCTACTGGAAGCTCCATGAGAAGAGTTCCCAAGCATACACACTTTTTGATAAAGAATTAATTATGTAAAAATTGCCAGTACAATACATGTACTCAGATTATTGTAGACATTTTGTCCCTCCCACTCTCAATCAAAATTCTTAGCAGCAAGTTTTTAAATATGTCCATGCAAGCTTTAATTTTGCAAGCCTCTTCCAACATAACATAATACAGTTTTATGGTGGCGTTAACTAGGACAAGGGTTTGTCAACTACTTCACAGAAAATATATATCAAACATTAAATTACATCTGTGGCCAATCAAAGTGTGCATCAAAATTAATCATAATAAGATCACATAGACCGCAGTACATTATAATCTCCTATTGATGAAACTCTACACATGGGGGGTTTGATATTATTAGAGAGGTTAAGCATCATGTTTACATCACATGGCAAATGCGAATTTGTACCACATGACCAAGTTCCCCATTACTTGTCACTTACTGTTCAAAATCATTTCTATGCACATAAAGTATTACTTTCACCCAATTTTTTATCCATAAGAGTTGTTTTGAGCTGTTTTTGTCTGCTCATTTTCTACTTGCTCACTTACTTCTACTTACTCATTTTCTACTCAACTTGAATCTGATGTTTGCTGCTTGCGGTAAACTTGAAGCTTAAACTCTCTTTTATATTTACTTAAAAGGTGCACAGGTGTGACTAAAGGTCCTCTTACTAATTGAACTATACCCCTAAAATTTTAATTATCCTAATACCTTTAGTTACACCTGCATACACCAGCAAAATAAACCCAGTGCACTACAAAGTGATGCTGAGGCAGACAAAACCATTAACAGTTACCCAATTTCTCATGCTCTTGGCTCTTAACTCAAGTTTTCTCTGAAGTTCTTTTCCAATACCACTGGCAAATTCATTCACTAAAAATTCTGTATGGAGAAACTCCTCTCTTGTAAGATGAGGCTTCACTATAACACAACACAAGAATGAATTTAATAAATAAATAAATAAACTGTTATTATTATTGTTGTATGCAATATTGTGCTTTAAGTGTTTTTAAAAATAGAACTGGTCCTGGAACATTTCCCCAAAAAGGTGTCATATTACCTCCGTCCAACCCACGTAACAGCTACTTGCTGTAAATGACCTATTAATAGTTATAAAATAACTGAGATAGTACGCGTGATCTGATTGGTCAAAAACCTATGGTTTATTATACCGGTAAACCCATAGAAAAAGACATCCGGACCACGAGCCATAAACAAAACCCGCTATTGATCTGCAAACAACGATTTTAGAAAGGCTAAAAAACAGAACAAGCTACTTACCTAGCCCTTCTTAATATCGAAAGCGTTGGTTTCAACATTTTATTAATGCCATAGCTTTTGAAGTAATAAAGTACAAAGCTGGAAAGCAGTTTACATTTCACGACGATGCCAAATCGCAGAGAAAGACAACAACTGTGTGAATTTCTGGTGTAGAAAGTCTCCTGGAAAACTTAACCATGTGCAAACCAGCAACAAAACGGATAGTTTTAGCATTCTTGATTTATTTTATGTCAAAATTAAATTCCTTAATGAAAGAAATTGTTCCAAAAAGAGATCTCTGATCAAGATATGGTACAAAATCGGCCGCTGTAGGTTGTAAACAAGCTGCCAACGATGATGAAAGATGTCAGAGTTTCGGGCTGGTTTTTTCAAACATTTGCACAAATTATTCGGTGATATCGATACCATAACCTACCTCAAACCACCTGACTTTACAAATCGACAAATATTAACGCCAGTATGTGGCTACGGCAAAGAAACCTTTCTCCACCACTGACATATTTCCATCGGTCGCTGTATTGTAGGTGCATATAAAGTTACATGCGACAAGTTCGCAAATGAAGCCACGTCGTTACCGCAGCATTTCTTAATCATAATAAAGTCCAGAAAACAGATCTTAAACCACTGCGGCTTGTAAAATGTGAATGAAGTCCTCCATTACAATAGCTGCCAGTTCTGTCTGTAAGCACGAAATTCTTACGGATCGATTCAACAAAATACACCTGCGTACAGTCTGATGTTCAGTTAATTTCTACTTCTGTAGTAAACAAACCATGAACGTATTCTTTCATTGTACGTTCGCATGAATAAATGTTGACTTTTCCTGTCAAACAGCTTTCATAAGTTATCATGTAATGAGTGCGAAAACTCGTGTTTTGAAGTGCTGCTGTTTGTTGTTTGACTGAACTGAGTTTTGAGAAAGTTCAGCGCTATTAAATCGTGAGTCATGATTGGCTTATGATGACTTTAGAGAGAAGACATGACTTGATCACCGTACTAAAACCACATTTTTGCCTAAAAGAATCCATTCTACTAAAAGTTATTTTATAAAAGCAATAGACCACACTTTCTATGGGTTTACCGGCGTGATAACCCACTTGGGATGTTGGGCGAACACTCGAAAAGCTTGTAAATCACTCGCCTTCGGCTCGTGATTTACAAGCTTTTCTCGTGTTCTCCCAACATCCCGCGTGGGTTATCACGCCGGTAAACCCATAGAAAGTGTGGTCTATTGCTTAAATGGCCACTTCCATATAAATGCCTCTTATCTAATAAACAACCTCTCTACACTGTTAAAATTGTATTAGGTGCCCCTCTCTAATAAATGCCCCTATGAGAATTAATCCAAAATACTAGGAATTAGCAAAAAGGGCAAAATTATTTGATTCATTCAGTTTCTTGCTTGATTAACAAGGCTTAATTTGAAAATTTCAGCCAGAAAAAAGGCTCCCGAAAATTCTAGGTGACCTTTTTAGGGTAAAAATCTGTTTAAAACGGGCAATTATATCATTTTTTAGATGTTCAAAATCCTAGGAGAGGCAGGCAAACAAGTAATTTTCCAACAAATGTTCCGAAAATTCTAGATCTCAAATCGTCTTCCGAACAGATATCTTCCAAAAATTGACATTGGGAGCCCCTGCAGCTATACAATAATATTGTACATACCTGAATCTAAATATTTTTCACAGGTCTGAGCTAATGGTGGAACTGGAAGACTTGGGAGTTTGTCTTGAAACTGAAATGTCTTCTCCATGTTTTTGCATATCGACGATGCTTAAAAAGAAAGAAAGCAAGATATTCATGCCACGCATGGAGAATAAAACTTGCAGGACCAATTGTTTATGAGAAAAAGGTTTTTTCTGAAAGGTCAGATCACAGCTGTCAATTAAGATTGATTTTATAAGGGCATATATTAGATGATGTTAGGGTGGGGATATGTCATTAGGATCCTCATGAAAGCCTTAGCCTGTACCAGACTATGTTCAGCTGCAATTTTGCTTCCCTATTCGAGAGTTAGACACAAAAAATTCCTCACCCCATCCTAGACAAGCTAGGAACTAGAAACTCCAATCTTCATAACACGCTCTCATAAATGAATGCCTATTCTACACCAAAAACTCTGATTTTCTATACACTTTCCCAGACTAAACTTTTGCAACCAACTATCCTTCACACTTTAACAATATATCCTATATATATGTCAAATTAATGCACTGTAAGTATCCAACTCAAGGGGCATGTTCTTTATTTAGCCGCTTTGGTCTAAAATTGGGGATAAAAAAGGCTAGCTGATAATTTCATCTTTCAAGCATTTGAAAGACGAAAGAAACATAGTTTATTCTACCGTTCCATCATATCTTCATTTCCTTAAATTTAGCTGTTTAATATTGTTATTTTAATCGGTAACAACTGTACAAAATGGTAATACTGAATAAACTTGTTGTTGTTGTGAATTTCCTCATACATGTATATCATATAAACGTACAGTGGTACATCTATTCAGAGGACACCCTCATAATTAAGGTAAGTGTTCCCTGAATAGAGGTTGGGCTGGGGTTTGTTAATAATTAACCAACAGAGAAAATAATGATCATTTTCGTTGCAGTCGTTATTTCAAGCAGCTAGATTACTGTATAAAAAATCATGACTGTGACATTGGTAACAGTTTGTTAACCAAGTAAAAACCTTTCATCAATTGCTCTATTGTATTGCAAAGCCCATGTTCTGAAGGCTGTCATAATGTGATTAGTGTTAAACTTATCAACTGTCTTTGTGGTAGTCACAGGATGAAGCAGCTAGCTGGATTTGTTCACGGTAGTTCAAATCCTTGGCCATGCTTGAAAGTAACCAGCTGGTTTGCCTCCGGCCAGCTGGGATTCTTAACCCTGTTAAATTCAATTTGAATTATAATGGGAATACACCCGGCGCCCACCAAGAATGCCTAGGACTTGACTTGATGCGCGAAAGCGTTGTCAAAATTATTAAGTGTAGATGTAGATGTAGATGAATATTATAAAAACACACCAAGGGTAAATCTGTGCAATTGCCGGTTGTTTTGGCTGCTTTGCCATAAAATTTTACACTGATGGGATGCAAGACTGAGTTCAGCGCAAAGCTTGAGCCCAAGGTATAAATCTGAATCTCACAGCAAAAAATTATTAATAATCTTAAGCGTATTAATTAAGGCATTATACCTGAAAAACAACGTCTGGTAAAACAAACCGCTTTCCAGTAATGTAATTTCGCTGCTTTCAGTGTAATCTGCGCCACCATAGACTGCATGTGGCTTGCTAAGTGAAATGAAAATAGGAAGTCCTCTGGTTTGAAATAAAAAACAACAACAACAACAAATTCGCGCGCCGCGCCTCCAAAAAGCAAGTGAACGAGCAATAGACTGGAAACGACTACCTGATGTAAGCTGACACGACAATGTACCTTACATGAAATGCACACCTCAAAGCATGGTGATTCTTTCCTTGAAAAGCAAGTCGTAGACTGGTTGACGTTTTCTTGTCCAGATGGCTGGTTTAGAGATCCTCTCTCCGGAAGGACTGCGGCTTGACGGCCGAAGACCACATGAACTTCGAAAAATCATTTGCAGAATGGGGGTTTTCAAACAAGCCGACGGATCCGCGTACATCGAAATGGGAAATACGAAAGCGTTAGCCACTGTATATGGACCTCACGAGGTTACAAATAAGGCGAAAATTCTTCACGATCGTGTGTTTGTAAATTGTCAGTTTAGTATGGCGACGTTTAGTACGGGTGAAAGGAAGAAAAGACCAAAAGGAGACAGGAGGTCGACAGAGACCACCATGCTTATTCGAAGAACTTTTGAGGCTGCTATTTTAACACAGCTTTACCCTCGATCTCAGATTGATATTTATGTGCAGGTGATTCTTGCTTTCTTGTTTTGCATTTTTCTTGGGCCACGGCGCCGCTGTTTGCTCGTCACGCAACCGTTGCGTGACGAGCTAAAAACAGCCGTGTGCGAGACTAACGCACATGACATCGGCTTTCCCCTGGGGTGGGACCCCGGGCCAACCAGGAGGATTGTAAAATTGACGGAGCAAAAATGAGAATTTCCTGCAGGTGTAGGTGAATTTAACAAGACAATTCTCCAGGGTCAGGTGGTGGTCAATGTTATCCACCTCATAAAACTCAGATTCATGTTCTTGTGGGGAATATTAGCGGAGCTCCATAGCTGAGTAAATCTACCCATCCCAGAAAATTTGGCTATCATGTGACCGTACACCGAACGACTATCCGTCCGCACCACAGGCATACAAATATTTACTCTTGCACTTTCTGGCTAGTTTGGGAGCCCAGGAGAAAACAGATTGCACATCAATGTTGTGATCAATTGACAGCTGTCAAAACAGGGTATCTGCTTACCAGTATCACCTGACTGTATTGCGGGCTCAGGTGTTGATCCATTGAGGTTGAGTATTTTTTTGAAGTTATCCGCTGACAAGTTACTAGTTTTCAACATTGAAGTAATTTGGATCATTAGCATGAAAGAAAAGACATGCCACTAAACACTACGTGATTACACCCCCTAAAACACTGAACATTTAAAACAAAATAATAGTAGTTTCCCTTTATAATTTTTTTCTTTATAATTTGTTTATGTGAACAGATTCTTCAGGCAGATGGTTCCAACCAGAGTGCCTGTATTAATGCTGCCACTTTGGCCCTCATTGATGCTGGTATTCCAATGAAGGATTATGTGAGTGCTTGCACCGTGAGCTTCGTTAATGATAAACCATTAATGGACATCAATTACCTGGAAGAGAGTTTTGGGGGACCACAGTTAAGCTTAGCAGTTTTGCCAAAATCTGGAAACATTGTTATGTTTCAGATGGATTCAAGGTTGCATGTGGACAACTTGGAGAAAGTACTTGAATTAGCCAAGAAAGGGTGCTCAGATATACATGTCTTGCTGAGACAGACCGTCCATGATTACTCGCAAGAATGTTTAACTTCTCTTACTGGGAATTGAATCAATTAGTGAAATGGATTTGGTTTTGTTTCAAGACCTTGGCTTACTGTCTTATTTAAACATTTCTACAATAACATTAATGGCACGTATGAAAAGTCAGAATTGCCCAGCTGGACCAGTCATTTTGAAAACGGAGTATTAGTCTTTTTTCAAAATTTCCTTCAAACCCACTTCTGCTTAGCATAGCATTTAAGACTTCATAGACTCATCTGGCTGACTGTTCTAACACATGAATAGTGCCCTATTTTAAATTATTGAAAGTACGCACTACTAAGAGAACCTCAGCAGAAAAAAAATGGTTGTTGCTTTTGTCGAACACTCACAACTCAAGTGATTATAAAAATAAGTAAAATTCATGTAAAAATAGGACACTAGGCATAATTTGATTGTGTTAATGAGAGGAAATAATATAACAAAGTTTCACAAAGCTGAAATTCTACACTGCCATTTACAAAAAGTAAGAACGTAAAGTCCTTATCTTTAAGGATAGCTTGGTTGACAAACAATCAATTGAGCAAGAATTTTAACCAATCAAATCCTTCTGTATCCTTTAAATATTTTTCTGGGTTTCCATTACCTTACAGAAAGTATGGAATCTTTCTTCATAGCATGCATCTGTTGCATATACTCTAAAAGCACCTTACTCAGCCCATTTCTGTCTGGAAAACCGCTGTGTACTTAAAACCCAAAATTAGTCATGTGCGAAGTAAGGAGTACAAGGCCTAGCTTTTAGCACTACAACACGTGTGGTGCAATGAGCCATGATTTGGGGTTTGAGACGATCAATAGAACTCATCAATCATTTGGTGAAAATTTAAACTTTAAATAGTCGTTCCTCAAAATATCTGTTCTTCAGGCCAATTTTTGCTGGCTGGGAGATGTGAAAGAAATGTTATGTCCTTGGAAGGAAAGTGTCAGCTGGGTAATCTGCACCTGGAGAAAGATAGTTCAGGGTGTCCGAGGGGATTTGATGTCTAGAATAGCTGCTAGGTGTTATTTGTCAGAAACCTTTCCCTTTCTTCCTCCACTGTAGGGGTGAATTTTGCCATTTGACCACACCTAAACTGGCCAGTAATGTCTGGACATACGTACATCTGCTGGGAAACTTCCCAGTAGGTCAGTTTGCAAGTTGTAGGTGCACCTTGCTGGCTTGGAACTCTTCCATCTGATCTTGCTGGGAGTGAGGAACAGATACATTTTCCCCAGCAATCTCCCAAAATGCTAAAAGTGGCTTCGGAAAGCTTTATTCATGCTGTATTATTGTTTTTAGGTCTTTTTCTCAACAGTTCCTGTCGGGTGCCCCTGAAACACCAGCACGCGGATGCCATCTAGGGTAAAATCTTGGGTAACCGAGGTAGTTATGTGCATGCGTTGATCGGGGGATTGGGGCTGGGGGGGAGGGACTCTGCATGTGAAAGGGGTGGGAATGCTCGTCATCTCTCTTAGGGGTGTAAATTTTGGATTTTGGTCTCACTTAGGGTATTCCGGGCAAAATACCATCATATTTAGCCGTGAAGGTCTCGTACCGATACCAGAGCTAGTTCAGCTGAATTTTGCTACCCTATACTAGAGTACTCCCCAAATACCCACTATCCTAGAGTAGCTGTTTTCCAGAAACTGCTGAGGTCACTAGCACAGTAGTCTAGCCAAAACAAAACCTTATACCACAATCCCTAGTCTGGATAAAATCTTCAACCGACTGATCAGTTTCCCGAAAAATGATACCCTATTCCAGACCCAAACACTCTGATTTATATACCCTGTCATAGAGTAAACTGCTTAAAAACCATACCCTTCACAGCGGCACATACCTCTATAGCTCATATAAGGCAGTACCCTCCCCCAGAATCTCGGCCCCCAAATTAAATAACTGGTTACATGATCTATAAACGACAATTTTGTGCTGCAAAACTAGGCAAATTAAAAGTGCAAATTGAGCTGGCAGTGCTCGTAATGACGAGTTATGCCAAAAATTTATGCTAGCTCAATCTATTGAAGCCTAATTTGGTGTCTTTAAGCCGGGTGTCTTTTTGGTCCGCAACAGGAGTCCCGTCCGGAAGCAATCTCCCGCGGGATCAGGATGCCGTGCTTTTATGTAAAAATGTGGGATAGTTACAAATTTATAGTGGAAGGATGCAAGGTCTAAAAGGGTAAGGGGCGGGACCTCCCCTTAATACTTTGTTATTAAAACAAAAACAAAACTAGATGCAAGGCTGGCAATACGGCAAAGGGCTGATTTATTATTTTATTAAGGTACACCCCTCCGGCACCACTCATTGGTTTGTAGCTGTGGACTTGCTGACATTTTAATACACCCCTCTGCACCCGGGTCAGTACAGTCACCAGTCCTGTTGTTATACCCACTCTTACCCTACTAAATAAAATTCCCTCTCCTGTGTTTAAAACCTTCAAAATTCTAAAGCATTAAAAATTTTTTCGATTCTTGCAATTTACGTTACGTCATGGCGAAAATATCCAAGCGTCTGATCCCCAGTAAAAAGGCGCCAATTTCCGCTTCAGGGCCTTCATTCCCAGCACGAATGCTCACATGACATACTTTAGCCAATCACATCCTTAGTTGCAGCCGTCCAAGATGGCGGATAGCTTGAAGCAATGCTTGTGCTGTGTTTTGAGTTGCAGGAAAATTAAAGCGGAATAATAATTTGCGTTAGGTTCGTTGCAAATGCTTTTAAACTAATGCGTCCATTTAATTTTTCTGGAATCGACCCATTGGCGGAAATTATCAAAGCTTTGGAGAGGTGACAGTTAATTGAAAACGTCGTAGTTTGGAGCCATCGGAAGTTTGGTTGCATTCTTGTACGTAGGGGAATTTGCATTAGACCATTCCTGGACGGAATGAAAGTTTAAATGGTTGTTCAACAACTTTTGGACGAGGTAAGCAGTGAATTTTATTTAAAACCATCCAGAAAATTTAGTTGATTGTCAATGTATTCGGCTGGTAGTTCAGTTTCCGATCGATCTGTGTAATTTGAAAGGTAGGCAAGAGGAAATATGTTCACGACAGAAGCTTATTTTTTGATACTTTCGTTACATGTACCAGCCTCCCCTTGTCCAAGCCTGCTTTCATGGCGATGCAGCGGAGCTGCGAACGTTAATAAGCAGAAGGGAGGATGTTAACCTTCAGGTAAATATAAAAACTTTTAATCTCAAACTTTGTAAGCTTATTTTTTCTACCTTATTCTGTTTAATTTTTGTTCGTGCTCCTGAAATGAATGTTTTCGTGTTAAATCAAGCAATCTCTGGGAATATCTTATCAAATATTTACAAACCACAAGCAAGTTGCAATTAATGAAATGTTGTTATGTGCGCTTAATTTGGACTTACAAGGGCAAAAATTGTGGTTCAAATAGCTGAAATTTTGTCAGAGAGAGGTTGGAATAGCAGAAATAAAATAACAAGTGGTACGACATACTTTTGTGTAGTCTCATTTTATAACATCAGGACATTTTTTCAGCAGTGTTTAGAAGATAGAGTGTGGTTCATTTTCCTTATTTTTGAATTCTGATTATTATTTAACTTGTCAGTTTTACCATATTTATGGTAGATAATAATAATAATAATAATAAATTATTACTGTATCTGTTTGTATACCTATTATCAATATAATTGATAATATTTAAATTTGCAAGGCACCTAAACAAAAGAACCCTTTGTTTTGAGAGCCAAAAAGTCTATGGCTGACTAATTAACATCAATGGTTGATTATTTAAGTGTCTCACGGCAAAACAAAAATGAGAGGAAAGAGAGAGATTTTTTGCAGGCTTCTGCGTTTTCTATCATGCATGAACTGGCGTTTCCCAAACAACAAGTAAAGTTTTAGTCATGTGCAACACGACTTACAGAGCCTGTTTGCACGATAACTGTGGGCACAGAAATTCTCGGCGCACACTCTAAACAGGGCGTGCGCATTCCACATTAAACAAAACTGGTTTTGAAAACCAGTAAGTTTCGGTTACAAATGTGGTCAGCAGTTATACAAAACAATGTCTCAGAGGACTGTGGAGGTCTCTCGTTTTCCTTTCGTTCTTGCCGTGAGTGACCTACGCTAGCAGGGAACTGTTGTTCAAAAGACTGTACTTCATGTAGGTTTCAGTGCAGATTGGTAGAATTTTTATTGCAAAGATCCACAAATTGAAAAGTATCAGTAAATGGTAGTTAAGCTTCACAAAGTGTGACAATACACCACATGTACAATGTACATTTATCCAGTGTACCAGTTTTTTAAAATCGAAGACTACGTACAAGCTCAAACAACCCAATAATGCAAACTATTGAAAAATGCCTTGTGGTGATAGACAACAAAAAGCCACTTTAAGTTGCACACATACAAAATTTGTGTACTCCACTATATTCATGTTTTGCAGGTATTTTTTTGCGGGCATTGTTTCTTTCCTGTGATAAACCAGGGTCACATTTTCAAAGCGATTGGGTGATAAACCAATATTCAAAAGTCACAGCAGTATAATCGTACTCCTACCAAAGGCGTGATAAACATGAAAAACCAGTGGTTTATATTTAAGACTGTATACATGTACAGCTAAGCCTTGTGCTCTGTGATTGCATAAACCACAACTGTATGAAGATAACAGTAGTTGTGGAAAATGTTTTTTACTTTTACATAATTTAAGCAGACATATAAAATAGCCAACAAATTCATCAGGAATATGCTCGAACTGAATAGTCTTTCATATAAGGTGGTTAACTCACCCATTTTCTTCCGCTAAATAATAATAATTATAAACCGTACCAATCCATAGATTGGCTGGTATATAAAAGCCATGTCAATGAGCATTATGATGCCCCTCTTTGACAGTTTTACACTGTAAAATCCCTGAAAGAGTTCTCCTTGTGCATCAGACTGACCTTGTTGTATAGCAATAAGTAAAATGTTTCTTTTTGCACTATATCATCCAGCTGAATTAAAAATAATTTTATAAAAGCAACCTACATGTATACACTCATGCTCAAGGCTGCATTTCGCAGCAACAAAAGCGTAGAAACATTTGTGATGGGAACCTTACTTGACAGTTTAATTGGTGGAGGGCAGATCACTGTCATCAAAGGCGTGTCTCCAGGCTCTGCCACCCAGCTCTTTCCCAGACTACCACTCCGATCTTCTTTTTCACCTTTTTCCGCACTGCAGAGCCTGGTCTCAGGCTAACATTTATTAGAGAGATTTAGAGTGTAGTTTACAGCAAGTGATAATGATAACACAGTTATACATGTAGTAATCATTAATTTGCTTCTATAATTTAGGATGAGGAAAAGAGAACTGCTTTACATGCAGCGGCACATTGTGGGGAAAGTGAGTGTGTCAGCATTCTTATTACTCATGGTAAGTGACAACATCATACATTGTGACATATGGTAAAAATAGGGCCAACCTGCACCTTTTCCAAAGAAGGTTTGTGATTGGCTGGGAAAACAATAGGGATGGTAACAACAATGCCCCTATCCCTGAAAACAATAGGTAGTGCAGGTGATAGGGACCAATGAAATAAAAGGTTTGGATGGGTGCAGGTCTATCGTAAGAATACATTAGTGTGATCTCTATTTCCCAGTAACATGGGAAGCCATAAAAATGTAATTCAACGGGAATGTTTCTATAAATTTGTCAATAGTCCATAGATAAATAAACAGCTTCTAAGTTTTAGGTCTAAGTGAGGGTGCAGAGTTGGGTTTCTTTTGGGACAAAGTCAGAGCTGGAGCTGTTAACAGAAACACATCTAGTATTGTGGCCTAGTGAAGTTGTACATTTGTATGCAGGGTTTCCAACTTTGGGATGGGATGGTGCTAAGAAATGTTAGTGCAAGAAGTTATTGAAATTATTTCAGGGAATGAAAGTGTTTTATTCACCAAGGTTTTTTACAGTAAAACTCTGATAATACAAGGTACATGACTCTAAGAAATTGCTTTGTACCAATGCCCTGCTATGAGAAACAATGATTTTTTTGGCTCCAGTTACCATAACATCAGACCCCAGTTATGCCCTGTTGTCCTAAGTAATGCATTTTATCACTCCTTTGCTACCTCTGTAAATAGAGTTCCCATTGTACCTTACACTTTTCTCTGCTTGCAGTATTGTACTAAGATAATTCTGACTAAATAGATAATTCATATTTCAGGAGCCAGAGTGAACACAAAGGACAACAAATGGATGACTCCTTTACATCGGGCATGTGCTTCTGGGAGTGTGGTAAGTTCAGTGTTAATTAGTCAAAATGGGTCATATGTTCCACATGGCATTTTAAATTGGGTCATTTCAGTAATGGTCTGGGTCAAACTATGATAATCTAAACTGTTGTTTCATAATGAAACAAAAACAAAAGAACAAAACAAAAAAATGAAATGTGAATCGATCAGCAAAGCAACATATGCAGAAAGTCGAAATGTACATTCCAGTCTTTCCTGGAAATGCGTGGAATGCCTGACCCAAAAAAATCTTTTACGCAGGTAGCCTGAAATGACAGTCATTCCGTGCTCTCATTTCGGGCTTGTAAGCTCACCTATTTTGCAAAATTTACTTTTATTATTGCCTACTACTTTGGAAGTACTTCTACATGTGAGGTAACTTCTTTTTTTGCGTCAGTGTGACTCTACCATAATTTCATTTTGTATCAGAATAGAATATTCTGCGTCAATGACACAAAAATGCGGCCTAGATTGAACACTGTAAGCTACATGGAAATTTGACATTAAGTGTCTTAAAGTGGTGTAGTTGTTATGGTTTGGCCATTTTTGTTCAAACTGCTATGTTTAGTTGAAGTCACATGTAATATTTACTCAGTGCTATTGCAATAAATTATTTTGTCACTATTTTTTTAGGAGTGTGTGAAAGCACTGGTAAAAAGTTCAGCTGATGTCAATGCGAGAGACAAAAACTGGCAAACCCCTCTTCATGTGGCAGCAGGCAACAATCATATCAGATGTGCTGGTACGTTCAAAATTGGACATTCTGAAACTATGTAATGTGAAAAAATAAATCTGTTATTTTGTTAAATTTCATAAGTTCAAGGCTGTGTAGGCCTCTGTTGGCTCTCAAAACTGGAATCTCAGCCACACACTGTATATCCTGTATGTTGAGAGTTAATCAATGAATTAAAGTACAAACATAAAAACAGTGTACCAAAGCTGGCTTATCTTGAGTACAAAACTTTAAAAAAGTTCAGAGAGACCAACATTAATTTTATTAACTGTTTGACTTAAAAAGTTAACCGGAAGGTAGAGGTCAATTAAATAAAACTTTTAAAAGTCTAATTTAAAAGTGTGCGCATGGCCATTGTTTTAGCATCTAAAAACAATAGCTACACTTGTAATAATTTTTTTAGATTGAAGCCAGGTTACAAATTCCTCATTATCAGTACATGTACATTTCTCTAGAAGGAGGGTTGGAGAACATTATTTGCAATACAGCAAGACATTCCTAGTGGGTTTAATGATTGTTTTCTGTGAATACTCTTAACCTCTGTAATTAACTCCACTTTTGCTCTACACCTCTGAAGCTTTTAAGGGTAATAGTTCAGTTCAGTTCATTAATTGCTCATGTAAATGATGTAATAAATCATGTTATTAAAAACTGAATCATTGGATAATGCAATTCTAGAGTTCTGATTGGCTTAGCCATCATGGTATCTGAGCCATTATGCCTTGCTCTCCAAATATGGTAACTGTATGCATCTGCTCAAAATTAAAATCAAGCTGAAAATCGGTTGTTTTTACAAATAAATTTGGGAAGAATTCTCGATATTTTGAGGGCATTTTTAAAAAAACAATTATATTCCACTCGCGCTGGTTGAATATGAGATGATTATAGCCAACTCATATCCCACACATCTCGTTGGCTATCTACCATCTCATATCCAATGCGCACTCGTGGAATAATTGTTAATTACATGTACATTGTACATGCATAATACAGTTTATAGTGCACTGAACTGTTCTCAGTAAGCAAGTGCTAGTGGAGGTGAACAGTGGCTGCAAGCATTGCTGGTTTGCACATGATGTCATGGTGGCCATGTTGGTGGTCAAGAAAAAAGCATTACTCTCCACTGGGAACTGAACTCCTTTTTTATGTAAATTCTTCTAGAAAAAAGTCTATTGTATTGACTCTCAACATGGTCGCCTTGTCATATGGTTGCAAACCAAGAATACAGCTGTAATAATTATCAAAAGAGGGATATTTTTAAAGTTAACTAAATTCTTCTCGCATGGTACATGTACACTAACATACACAACACTCACAAAGGAAGGAGATTATAATTATACAATACATTTTGTAGAATTTCTGATTCCTCACCTGGCAAATGTGAATGTGACAGACAGAGCTGGAAGGACAAGTCTTCATCATGCAGCATTCAATGGCCATGTTGAGGTAAAGTAAAAGTCATGCAATTAAAGCCTTATAATAATAGTTATTCAGGGAGCAAAGAAAATCATTTTTACAGCTTGCCATTCGGGCAAGCTGAAGCTAACATTTACTAGCCCAGACGTCATTTCAACTAGCCCCAAAAGCTCTTTGAAGAGGAGAATTGATCTCGCAGTTCTTCTGTTATTCAAATTCCTCAAAAAAGATCACTTGCCCGTCGCGCATGTTAAAAACAGAATTCCCTAGCCCGATAGCAAATTCCACTAGCCCTGGGCTATCAGACACCACTTTCTTTGCAAGCTGTTTTTGTAAAAAAAAAGTGAAACCTCCATTACCTGTACATGTAAGAACTCACCTAAAAAGCAACCAGTGATCAAAGTCCCAAGATAATTTTAAAAATCAATAATTTTTTACAGTAAATTAAACCTCTTTGAAGCGATCACCTCTTTCAAGCTGCTGCGGCTACCTTTTGGCCATGCCAGCGATAGTTCTCCTGTTGTCACCTCTAGTGGGCCACCATCAAGTACATATGTATTCGATGGACTGAATTGGCTTAATTTTAAAAATAATATACAGTCCAAGATAGAAGTGACCACTGATGGACTACTTGCCATTTCTATTGCATGTCTGTGTCAAAATGAAGTGTTTTTACATGTATGCTAAAGAGTCTGTTAATTTGTAACAAACCGTGATTGAGTGGCCCATGTCCATTACTTGCTGCTACCCTGAGGGTAGTGGCTTAATGGAGTTTAAATTATACAATATAATGAAAGTTTGTGCTGTTTAAGTATCTATAATGAAATCACTCCCTGTAGCACACCTTTTACTGCATTATGGTTGATAACTTGAATGTACATGTAGATCCTTAGAACATTGGATCTAAAGAGCTCCTCCTTGAAGTTTACTTTTGTTTTTCCCATTAGATGACACAGCTTCTTTTAACAAAAGGTGCCCATGTCAATGCAAGTGATAAGAAAGACCGAAAGCCAATTCACTGGGCTGCATTTATGGGTAAGTTTTAACTGGTTGGGGAGCTTGTGTTAACTCAATAACATGAGTATTGAGTATACTGTCAGTAGCAACTTACTGATTACCGTAAATGACCTTATAAATGCCGTGGTGTCTATTCCAAGAGAGTTTAAAAATAGAGGAACATCCACTCCATCAGTTGATATGTCTAGGTCTTCTAGAGATCCATATCGCTCCTTCAAATCTCGGCCAACAACAATGTCAGATTCCTGGCTCAAGGTTATTGTGTCGCCATTGTTAGTCAATTGTAACTTTGAAAAACCCGTAAACCCTGGTTAATCAAGCAAAAAATGGAATGAATTGAATGATTTTGCTCCTTCTGCTAATTCCTAGTGTTTTGGAGTAATTCTCTTGTGGGGGTAGGGGGGGGGGGCGTTTATTTGAAAGGGGCATCCAATACAATTTTAACAGTGTAGAAAAGAGGTGTTTATTTGGAAGTGGGCAATTTTATTATTAGGTCATTTACAGTACTGATTATTATCATTTTTTCAATTTTTCAATGGTGCTTGATGAATGTGCTTCAGGTTTCAACTTTAATCTATGTTGTATATTCTCGATTTTTGATTCCAGCAAGAAACTTGCATTCAGAATCAAAAATCAGTCATTAAGAATCAAGTCTTTTCAGCTTTTCTGATTTCTCAATAATGTCACATTTACATGTATGTATGCATATTGAGCAAAATTACATTGAGACCCACTGTATGATTCAATAGCAAAACAATAATTGACGTGTACTTTTTTTCTAGAATTTTGCTTTTTTCCTGAAATGCCAACTCCTGTGTCATGAAAAGAATGTGCAACAATTCCTCAACTTAAATTTAAGATACGCTCTAGTATCCTTAAATTTGACTAGTAAAACAAATTTAATTCTGTCTGCAAAAATCAAAGGCCCATGCAAAGTTGGCTTGTCACTTGTTCAGTCAGATAAACAGCTTGCTGTAAAGTCGCATTGTGCCAGCTCTTACTAGGAGCTTAATTAATGACAATGGCCATGGCAAGAAGAATGGCTAAAAAGAAATAAGTTTTAGACTGGCAAAACAACAAGTTTGCATGTGCACACTTTTTTGTACATTTTTTTGCTGTCCTTGCACGACTACAATGTGAAACTTCTAATTTCCCCTTTTATGGAGGATGTGAACTCAAGCCAGTTTTTTCTTTTTCCTTTTGTGAACTTAGATACAGTCCTATAGAATTCAACTCCTGAAAAGGTGCCAACATTTGACAAATTAAAAGAGTTGCCCTAGAATAAGGGTGATGATGTTTGAAACAGCACAAATTAACTTTTTGGGTGATGTTTTCGTTGCCGTTGCTGTTGCTGCTGTCATTGCTAAGGCTTCTTATTTACCACAAATGTAAATGCTAACCCTTATTTACAAAACTGTAAAACTGTTGGCACAGCCACATAACATGAGTTCAAAATATTAATTTTTTGTGATTGTTCATGTTGTAGGTCGCATTGAATGCTTAGAAATCTTATTCAAGTCAGGAACAGAGGTCAACTGTAAAGACAAGAAGGTAAGTGTATGTTACAATGTATTACAGGATTTTTTTGCAAGAAGGTACATGTAGTATTGTTGTTGTAGCAAATTGAGGAGTATTGAGTATTCATTTATTATTTGTTTTTTATTCAGCATTATACACCTCTTCATGCTGCAGCAGCTGGTGGACAGTTATCCACACTTAAGCAGCTACTAGAAAAAGGGGCTGTGGTAAATATTGTAGTTTTTACAGTATTTGTTTATAGATATAATATATAGATTTAGCTGAGGCTAAAGGCGAAGCTCTCATTAATGAAAAAAACATTGCAGTGAAGAAATCCAATTAGAGTTGAGCTTGCAATCAGTTGAAAACTAGACACCTGTCCACAGTAAACTTCAAAACAAACACATAGCCTTTATTGGTCAACACCTGAGCTCGTGATACGGTCATATGTTACTGGTCAGTGGATACTTTGTTTTGTCAGCTGTCAATTGACCACAACATGGATGTGCATTCTCAGGTTGGAGGCTCCCACTTTAGCAAGAAAGGGTAACAGTTAAAGTGCCCCTTACCCTTCGATTTTTTTTCTTTTGGTAAATTTCCATATCTATCAAGAACTCATTTTTGAAAAAAATTTGCAAAAATATTTAATTCTGATGTCTTTACGAGCACTTGAAGTTACTGAAATTTTTAAATTTTTGCAGGCTATTAGCCCTGCTGGACATATTTTTGTCTCGTGGGCTCATGAGGAACGAGCCAATGAACGTCCGATATTTGACACTTTTTTAGCTGTTACATAAGAAATGCACACCATTCCAAAGCCAAGGCATTTAAAATATAGTGCGATTTCGAAGATTATCACTTACAATTTGTTTGGAAATAATAATGTCTGTGAATTTTCCACATAATTATTCTAACAACTCTTTCTTGCATGATGTCCTTTGCTTACGTCACACTCCATATTTTTCAAGACTGACTTCGCTTAAAGTGCTAGTAAAAAATCAGGATTCAATATTTTTGGAAAAGTTTTTGAAAGTGAATTCTTGAAAGATATGGAAATCTACCAAAAGAAAACAAATATTATTGAAGGGTTATGGGCACTTTAACATTTTTGTTTCCCTGTGTTGCGGACTAACAGGTGGGCGGGTGGACAGGTGGACTTAGGCCCAGTTCATACGTCGTGCTTCTGCCGTGCCGAACTTAATTCTTGAATTAAGTTCGACATAAGCACGGCAGAAGCACGACGTCTGAATCAAAGTTTTTAATTTAGTGCGGCAGAACAATTAAGTTCGACAAGGTCTGCCGTGCTACACGACTCTGGCACGGCAGCGATTCAGACGTCGTGCTTATGCCGTGTCGAACTAAATGCATAAATTTCAGAAATGTATTTTTCGCGGGAATTGTTATCTTGCGTGTCCCGCGAGTAGCTTCGAGGAAAAATGTCCTTCAATGAGCATGCGCATTGATTCTGTTTATTACCCCAGAGCTCCTCTGCGCATGACGGCCAGGAATCAGAAGCGTAAGCACTGGGCCGGGGTCGAGAATGGTTTAAAACAAACATGGCGGCTTTCCGCGCAAGTTTGCATGCTCCTTCCTCCTTGGTTTGCAGTGCTGCAGAGTCCGATAATTCATCAGAAGACGAACTACCTTTTGAAGAAAATATTCCACTAGCTGACTATAAAGAACAAGATGAAGAGGAAGACGAGGAAGCGATCGGCGATGTTGAGTCAGTGTCATCGCAATCGTGTTGTATACGACCAAGGATAAAATTAAAGGTGGCTTTTGATACACGAAACGTTTTCTTGAACATCTGATCAGTGTATGTGTTCCATACTTCTTCGAACCATCCTTTGTTACGGGGAAACCGTCGACATGATCGATCAGCAGTGGTTCTCTCGGAAGAAATAAGAAGAGCAAAAAGAAAAAAAACTTCTAATAATAACATTCGCCTGTCGGTCAAAAGGAAAAGGATTTTCTGCTGCATTTCTTTTCTTCTCCTCCTCGAGTTTTGTAAGAGTTTTGCAAGTAGCAATTTACGCTGGAGGTTACGGTGCGGCGCCATTTTCGTCACCGCTTACCGCTGTACTGACTACTGTGCGAACCCTGAATTAAGTTCGACTCTGGCACGACGTCTGAATTGAAGTCGTGCTTGTGCCGTGCTTCTGTCGAACCCAATATTAATTAGGTTCGGCACGGCAGAAGCACGACGTATGAACTGGGCCTTACAGTCACGTGATTACCAAAATTTCTTGGATGGATAAGTAACCAACTGGGGCTCTGCTATTACGTCAAAATATTACCTGGTGAATTTTGGTTTGGCACTCCATTTTTGTGTAGCAAGAGTACTGGAGCTGGTATGCAGGCACTCAACTCTTCTGTAGTTATATATAACAAACAATAATATTTCCAAATCAAATCTGACGTGATTTGATTTGGCATACGGCGTATTTGATTTGGCAGGAGGCGTTTTGATCATACAGAAGGTATTGAAGAGGAGTTGAAGTCAGGCATCTAAGAATCCAACCTGGCTTGTGATCTCAGCAGGATTTAATTATGAGTCTTACCTATTGACAACTTGATCACGCTGCCTCCAAGTTAAACCAGGTTCTGGTTTTACTTTGGTCCAGTTGACTAAAACTAATTTCCGTACCTTTTTTTTGTGTTAGGTGGATGCTACAAATCTGCTGGGTAACACCCCTCTACACATTGCTTGTCTTAATGGTCAGGACATTGTGATCACTGAACTCATCAGCTATGGTGCTTCTGTCAATGCCACTAACAAAAAAGGCATGGTAAGTGGTATTTATAGTACATACAGCTGTTATGCGATAAAGCAGTGTCCAACAGTGTCCTGGGGGTGGAGGGAGGGGTACTCACTGACATTGTATATCCATGCTGGTATGTATGGTCCCAATTAAAGGATGTGTTAATTTTAACTGTTTAGGACAGAAATGGGGTATGGAGTTTTGATGTCTGAAACCAGGATCTCTGACTAGGTTTTCTTCATTAATGGTCTTTTGAGAACAACAGGTCATGCATTTTTTTATCGTTGGCATGAAATTTATAGGGGTCAGTTCAAAAAGCTCAAACTGCATGTGGACATAATATATAGATTTAGCCAGGGCTAAAAGCGAAGCTTCTATTTTAACTCGAATTAAACAATAAACTTGCAGTTGTATTTTACAAATCAGTTAACTTTAGAGCACATTCATGTGACTTTTGAAGCAAAGGCTAAGTGATTTTAGATAAAAATAATGTGCAAACAGTCCAAGCTAAGAGTGAACTTAATCTTACATCGAGTTGATAGCCTTATATGTACACCCAAAAAATAGCAATCATCTTTGATCACATTCAAGAGCCACAAAAATGTCTCTTGATCACAGTAGATTAGGCCTGGAAAACAAATTCTTGGAGAACCAATCAGGCCCAATTTTTTGCGTTTGACAAGTTTACAATTTATTTTACAAAATCTTGCTAACAAGTCTGGGGACGTGTAAACCAACCTTTTATACTTTTTATACATCATCTGAGGTGAAACAGTTCCATGAGGCACTGTTTTTATCATACAGACCTCGGACAGATAACAATTTTGCAATACAAATTGTACTCATTCAACATTCAGGTTGATCGAAGCACACGTGGGCTTTTACCGAACCGTTAAAAAAATTTCTAAAATCACCTATACGGCTTGCCGGTTCTCACTTTTGACAAGCGCCAAAGTCGACTGTTTAAATCAAGATTAATAGAGTTATACGCTTTAACATGATAAAAAATTTATTATGTTTGTTTCTTTATTTAACGGTTTTATAACTATGTGTAATCTTCAAAAGCGTTTGATACACGCGGCATTTTGGTCATTTTGACTACTCCTGCAAGCGATGTTCGTGAGCGACTGAAAACAAACGGCACAGCGATGAAAATTGCAAAAGAGACTACTAACAATCAATAAAAGGATAATAATTTGGTGAAACATATACAGAGACAACAATTTTCATTCACGAAGACAAGTAAAAAGTGTCTCTGAAAATCCTTGTTTGTGTTTTAAGCCTGCTTCCCGGTGTTTGCTTTTTTCAAAGGTGAACTCAAGGCAAGAAAATCGCTGAAAGCTTTCTTTTACAGCCAGAATTATAACTAAATATTCTTTGGAACGTTTTCTTTCTATTTGCAGTGAGAAAATGTCTAAAGGCTTTTTAAAGTTCTATAAGCTTATAATCAAACCTGATACTCGGTCAGATCGATCATTGTCTCAAATCTCACAAACGTGCATAAACTAAATAGTCGCATAAACTACGCCTGACTTCATTAAATTAGACATAAAAAACAAACATCGAATACAATAATTACTCAGGCTTACCATTCGAGATGCTCTGAAAACTATCAAGTAAGGCCAGAATCGCTTCAGACTTTTCAACCCTCTTACGCATCAAGCAAGGTGAAAAACGAAAACGATGCCATCTGAAATCGGATTTCCGACTTTGACAAGCGATGTATTTCACAACCAAAAATAAACAAACTAGCTATGAATAACAGAAGACTCTTGGTAGCAGCAGAATTTCATTTTGTACATTCAGCGGAGAAAGACAGTTAAAAACATCACAAGTTGACACAAAACTCTGTCAGTTTCAGCTGTCAAAGTAAACAAGTTTCAAGATGCTGCATAAATTTTCCGCATGAACTCACCTGTCAAATTTTGACCAATCAAAGCATAAAAATTGGACGTAGAGCGTGACCAACGCGTGACCTTGGTGAGAAAAGTCAAAAGCAACTGGCATGTCTTCCCTGCCCTTAAAAACTGGCTGAATTTTAGCTTCCAAGGTCAGTTTGAAATCAAAATTTTAATTGTGCGACACATATAAAACACAACATATTTCATATGAATTAAAAAAATTAAACTTGAGCCTGCGATCATTTGAAAACATTTACTAGTAACTTGTCAGCGGATAACTTCAAAAAGATACTCGACCTCGATGGGTCGACACCTGAGCCCGCGATACGGTCAGGTGATACTGGTCAGCAGATACCCTGTTTTGACAGCTGTCAATTGATCACAACATTGATGTACGATATGTGTGTAATATCAGTCTTCCTGTGCTACCAAACTAGCTAGAAAGTGTGAGATTGAACATTGGTTTTCCTGTGGTGCGGACGGACGGGCGGGCTGCGGGCGGTGTACGGTCACGTGATTACCAAATTTTCTCGGATGGGTAGATTTACTTACCCATGGTGCGCCGCAGGCGCGCTTCGCGTGCCAGAGCGCCGCTACAATGTAAGCATTAGTACAGTACATCTGTACCTACTACAAATATGTATATACATCTATACCATGGTTACTCTTGTTCGTTGTAGACTCCATTACATTATGCCGCTGTGTCAGGGCAAGGTGATGTGTGTCTTGAACTGCTGTTGAAGGATGGTGCAAATCCAAACTTGCAGGTTTGTTGTGTATTGTCCTCTTTGTCACTCAATAAATTAATTTTTTGTGGTAGTTTGTAATGGTTAAACTTGTATTTGATTTCTGTTAAGTGCAAGAGTGGGAGAACGCCTCTTCATTATGCTGCCTTGTATGGTCGTTGCTCAAGAGCTCAAACGCTTCTGCAAAATGGTAAGAGCTTTATACTGCATCCCTTGTACTGAAGGTATAACATGATCAATATTATCTGCTCCCTTAGCTCTACATAGTTTCCTTGAGACAATCTGACTTTGTGTACAATCAGAAACTCATAAGGGTTTGAAACGTGTAACTCGCGTTCAATACTCGTGAATATTCACTTTTACCATATTTGGAAACCTTAGTGGCAGATATCCATTTTCAACATATCGCTGCTGCGCGATCACCATGCAGATGTTTTAAGACAAGAGTTCTGCATTTCAAGGTAAAAATACACCGTTAAAAGACAAAAAATGGAAGGAGAAAGTTCAAAAGAATGCTCAGCTTTCTTTTTGTGGAGGAAGGGAAGCTTTTCATCAAGAAATTGTTCTTAGAGGAATTCAACCTTGTTTTCTTCCCGACGGAGCACATGGTCTGTTTTGAAATGCAACCAAGGCAGTAAAGTTTTTGCTGAATTTTCAGGTACATTTTGCACTCTATGGCCAAGACAATTACGTTTTTGAAAGGCAATTTATGTATTTTTAAATGTTTCAGAGACGTTTTATAAATTTTTCTCTTCGGCGCTAAAGAAAAAATTACAAAATGTGCCCCGATTTGAGATGGATTTTGTGTTGAATTTTGCCATGTGCTCAGCCGATTTCACTTGCGTGAACGGATCCACGATCCAGATAGTGCTTTCCGAATTGCTTTAAATGATTAACGTTTTGGATTTTGAATAAAAATTTTCAAGAAACGGCTTCTCTGTCTAGTTTGTTTGTTTGTTTGAGTTTGTTCATTCATAAAATTTGCTCAAAACACGATCGTGACTACAACATCCAAGCTGAATTGAAGCTTAAAATTAATGCTTCTCACATTTATTACACACATCACTTTTTGCGAAGATGTCAGGTTCAGGTTTTGGACACTTTTCGATACGCAGCTAATGAATTTTATTCGAAAATATTTTTCACTGTTTATTCTAGACTTTTAACAAGCCTATTTGCAGTATAAGTTTACTGTGGAGAGGGTAAACGAGGCATCGTTTTTTGAAGTGACAACTTCAAGAAGTTGCGAGGACGTCAATGGGTTTCATAATGTTATGTTTGGCCCTGGTGGTAAGGCAATAATATCCTGCTTTAATAGTGTTGGGGTAAGATTCCTGGATTCAACCTTTGAAAGCTTTCTTGGCTTTCGGGAGTTTTCCCCCTGTTTGCTGGCCATTTTTTTCAAGCGGGCGCGGAAACCCGAAGTAAAGTTACGTCACGTTGTTTGCGAAGTTTGATTGGTCAGTTATCTCTTCTTCTCGTTCCAAATATGGTACTTTCGAAAATGAATAATCACGAGCATCGGACAAAGCAAATATATGAGAGTTACACCTTTCAACTCCTTATGAGTTTCTGGTACAATCTAATTATTGTTCTCTGTTATCCTGAATTCAAATCCTTAGCTGTGCTTGAAAATAGCCAGTTTCCTTTTCCCATGTAAGTACAGGTGTACCCAGTTGTTTTCTACATTTTAAAGGAAAGGTGGAGCGAAATTTAGGATTGTAATTAAAAGAATTCAGCGATTTTGTGATGATTCAGGGAACGTTGTAAAGGTCCCTTTAAAAAAAAAAAAAATGAAAATTCCTTTCACCTTCATTTAATTGAGACTGGTTGTCTACATTTTCGTTGACCCCGTGACATCATCATACCTATTTGACCATACCCTATTTTTCTACCCTACTACCTGTATATGTCACTGGTTTTCTGGAGATGACAGACAGTCGAACCTCCATGTGTGACCACCTCCCAAAAGTGACTGTGAATCCAAAACACCAAAGTTTTCCAGTCAAAGCCTTACAGTTTAGACCTCTAGTAATGGACCACTTTTTGGGCCTAAGAATCAATGATTTCCCATTGTTTTTAACCTCTTGTAAGCGACCACTTGACGCATTCTCTGATCTCCATGTTCCTTGTGTGTATTATGCTACCTAGAATATACAATATGTATGAAGAGCTTTATTAACGACATGGAACTACACAGTGTGTGACTTAGAAATTGTAGGCAGTAAATTATCTTCCATAAAATAGATGTGCCCAGACCTCTTCTTGGAAGAGGCCCCATGTGGTTTGATTTGTGTGAGCGACCACCTTCTGTAAGTGACCACTAATCTTTGCATTTTTGCTGGTTGCTTATGGGAAGTTCGACTTTAATAATGTTGTAAACCCTTTTTAATGGCATATTTTATCACATAATTATGTCCAGATCTGATTAAGCTAGTAAAAACTGTTGGGGTGATAAGATTGATGAACCCTAATAAAAATTGGACAGTACACCTCATTTTGTTTGTTTATTAAGGTTGTTATGTGGATGCAGCAGACATACGAGGTAACACTCCTTTGCATATAGCTGCTTTACATGGTCAAGAATTACTACTGAGTGTTCTGTTAGCCAGTGGAGCAACCCATGCTAGGTAAGGTTTCTTTGGTTACTACCGGTAGTTTCAGCGTTCATACTGTCACACCTGTGTTAATAGGGCACCCTGAGGTAGGTATTGTAATACTTGTCCTTCAAGGGACGCTTCTGTTTTGGGGAGGGGGGGGGGGGCAAAGAAAGTTTTGACTGACAGCCCATTGCCGGTGGCTCCTGTGATTGGCCTAGTGAATTCCATTTTTAACTCATCCAATGGGGAAGTGAGGGTTTTTGGTTTTTGGTTACTAGTTTCAGTGTTAATACTTTCACACCTTTATCAAAAGTAGCCAGCATATATTCCACATTTGTTATCTTCTTTTTGTTTTATTATGACAGTGAGTGCTTTTGTGTTGTGGGTGGGAGTGGGACTCACCTGTTTTTTTGTTTTTTTTTTGGTTGTTTGTTTCTGTCTGTCTGCTTCTTCTTTTTAACTCTTGTTGAAAGGGGGGGTGATGGGGGTGTTTTGTTTTTGTTTGGTCGGCGGGGGGTGTTGTGGGGGGGGGGGGGGGGGGGGGGGCAAAGAAAGTTTTGTCTGACAGCCCATTGCCGGTGGATTCTGTGATTGGCCTAGTGAATTCCATTTTTAACTCATCCAATGGGGAAGTGAAGGTTTTTGGTTTTTGGTTACTAGTTTCAGTGTTCATACTGTCACACCTGTATCAAGAGGGCACCCTGAGGTACATTGTAATACTTGTCCTGCGAGGGAAGCTTCTGTTTTTGGGGGAGGGGGGGAGAAAAGAAAGTTGTGTCTGACAGTCCATTGCTGGTGGATTTTGTGATTGGGCTAGTGAATTCCATTTTTAACGTATCCAACAGGGAAGTGAAGGTTTTTGGAGGAATTAGAATTACCGAAGAACTGTTAGTAAAATTGGTTAAATTCCTGATAAAATAATTCATGTAGATCAAAAGCCGTCTTTCAAGCTGATCTGCTGGAGTGAAATTATTACAATTATTATTGCAATGAATTGATAAAACAAATACAAATAATTATTAATTCACCACTAGTGTGATTTATCAATCAATAAAATGATGTACTGATTATTATTAATTCGCAACTAGTGGTATTGATTATCAATCCTGCTCGTCAAACAATTTTTTTCAACTAACTAAAATGACTCTTTGGCTAATACATGCAAGCTTAACTGATCTTCTTTGCATACTTTGATACAAGTCTAATGTGTAGTTTGTAAATTTTTTATAGACGGGGTTCATTTGGAATGTTACCTCTTCACATGGCAAGCTTAGGTGGACATACAGACTGCTGTAGGAAACTTCTTTCATATGGTAAGTAATCACTGATAAACTGTTATATAAGTTGCATCAATGGGCAAGTAGTTCATTATTAAACATAAAAGAAATACAAAATTCATCTTTCTAAAGCCTTGCTGTTATTTAACAATATTATTCCTCGAGCCCAAATGGGCTCTGAGTCAATAACCCATGAGGCCAAAGGCCGAATGGACTATTGACTTAGAGGCCAGGAGGGCGAGAGGAATAATAATTGTTTTAGTAAAATCCAACTAGTTGGTCAAAATTATTGAGACAAAACAACTTTAGCTAGCAAAACGCGATTCAGCCGCCATTGTTTTGGTTTTCAAAGCAGGCACTTTTCGCTACTAGTGGGCTGTAACATATAGCCTTGTAGTAGCTCAACCAATCAGAATGCAGCTTTGATAATAGAGGACTATTTGGATTTTACTAAAGAGAAATTACCGGCAGTCACCAGTAGAGGTAATATAAATCATAGTATCTTGTACATATCTCTGAGTGACTGAAGCATTCTCTTTCTATTTCTAGGAAATGATGTAAATGCAAAAGATGATAATGACCACACATGTGCTCATGCTGCTGCATGTAGTGGGTAAGTCACACACATTATTATTTGTATCATATAAGACAGTCAACTCTCTCAAGGGTGGATATTTTTGGAAGTGGCTCCAAATGTCCATCTTAATGAAGGGTCTGTCTTATGGAGAGTTTAGCTAAAGTAAAAGTAACTGAAAAGGCAGGAAGGGGCCTCCACCAAGTGTGTGTCTTTTAAAAATGTCTATCCTTGTGTAAGTGTCCATAAAGAGAGAGTTAACAGTACAACATGAATTTACTGTTGTGGAGCAGTTAATAGTTTGAACCGAGAAGTCATTTCATAGATTGGTGGAGTATGATTGTCTAGTTGATCATAGTCCTAAATAGGACTGTTGGTGACAGTGACTGATGTTTCGACAACCTGCCTGGTAGCCATCTTCAGTGTCAAAGTACGCTGTATCATATCAGTTGATGGTATTGAACTCTGGTTATTGGCCTGATTGGTCAATCGAGTGGCAATGTTGTTTGGTCGTCTGTCAGTTAAGCTGTGATGTTATTGGCTATGGAGACTCTCAATGTGATTGGTGTGTTTCGATCCATCTTTTGTCACAGTTGCTTTAGATGGGTATTATGAAACTCCATCAAGGGGAGCTAACATTGTTTTGTCAATTACTTTACTCATTAGGTTTTGTGCTTTTTTGACAGTCAGTAAATGCATCAATGATATTGTTATTCTAGGAATGTTGAATGTCTAGGACTTCTGTTGCACAATGGTGCTGACTTGACTGCTGTTGATAAACTGGGAAGGTATGTACTTTGGAGATTTTCCATTTTCCATACAAACATAATATTTTATTGGCTTGTCAACACAAAGCTTTTCAGAGTCAATGTTACAATAGTAACTTTGAAAAACACAGTTACACACAGAAAGCTAAAAAACCTCAAAAAATAATTAACCCTAATTATTTATGAATAAGGGCTAAGAAACAAAGGGAATTGAGAATCAAAATAGGATAAGTCAGAATTAACCTGAAATCAAATTTGACTTGTAACATGTACAAATGATTAAAGTAATTATTGATAATGTTTATACCGTGAAGTTTGGAAGTAATGACCCCCATTCAGATTTAGCAGCCTTTTCCTATCATACTTTCTGATACCCAATCACATCAGTGAATTTAGCTGGTTGTAATTAATGTTAACATTGTTGTGATCATAGGAGCGCTCTTCACTATGCAGCAGGTCATGTGCATTACTTGTGTGTGAAGTCCTTAGTGGCATCAGGTTGTATTGTAAATAAAGTTGATACAAGGGGATGCACACCGCTTCACTATGCCTCTGCTGCAGATAAAGATGCCAAGTAAGCAATGCCGTCATTTTTTACAACGTTTATCCCTTTTGTTGTTATAGAGGTACAAAGACATCGCAACCCTTTTTTACTTACTCTCAAGCAAACATGCCTCTTGGTCAATCAGAGCATGTGTAGCCCAGGGGAGTACTCTGGATTTCAAGTGACAGGGATGATCGAATGGGGGCAAAAATCAAACCCTCCCAAAATATCTGTACCAAAATGTAACCCCCCCAAAAATCCCATGCCGAACTTCAGAGAAAGCATTAAATAATATAACTATAATGAATCTTCAGATTGTTTTGAATACCCCCAAAATTCCTTACTTAAATCAAGCTGCCAAAAAAAATACTTGCCAAAATTTTCCTACCCCCAAAAAATCCCGAATTCAAAATTTCAAACCCAAAAAAACTCTTCGGTCATCCCTGTCACTTGAAATCTGGAGCGCCCCCCCCCCCCTGGGGTATTTACTTCCCAAAATATTCCTTCTTAAAAAAACCCCCCAAAAAAAAAATTTCCCAAAATTTCCCCCCCCCCAAAAAAACCCCAAATAAAAATTTCAACCCCAAAAAAACCTTTCGGCCCCCCCCCTCCCTTTAAACTTGGGGCGCCCCCCCCCCCCCCCTGGGGTATTTACTATCTTGTAAATGCAGCATTTGCCTCTATGTGGTGAATGCAATAATGTTAGTTGTGTTAATTTCCTGTTCGTTGCAGATGTGTGGAACACTTACTGAGAAATAGAGCTAATGCTAGTAAAAGGGATAAACAAGGTTACAGCCCAGTACACTATGCTGCTGCTAAAGGACATAAACTGGCACTAGAAATGGTAGGCTTGGAAATTAAATGCTATAGGTATTAGCAATGTGAATAACAAAGGTTTGTAGTGTCTTGAAAACCCTTGAATTTTAGAAACCTTTTTTTAAGTCCTTGAAATCGTCCTTCCTTCCTTTGCCATTAACCACATAAGAATACAACACAGGGTGCAAAGAAAATAGTTTTATTTACAGCTTGCCTTTTGGGCAAGCTGAAGCTAGCATTTACTTGCCCAGACACCATTTCAACTAGCCCCAAAAACTTTTTGACTAGCAGAATTGATTTCACAGTTCTTCTGTTATCTGAATTCCTCGACTTGCCCGTCGGGCAAGTTAAAAACAGAATTCACTAGCCCGATAGCAAAATCCACCAGCCCCAGGCTACTGGACACTACTTTCTTTGCACGCCTACAACAACAATAAACATTAAAGATAATAGACACTATTCTAACCAAATTATTTACAAAATTAAATGTTTAAAGTTGTTATGACAAGGAAGGCTATATAGATGCTTATACACTATAGGTTTCCTAGCAATATAGGGTAAACCATGTGAGTTAAGGGTACTGAATGGAAAATTTATTGTTTTTAAAAGTAAAGAAAAGAAGAGAAGAAAAGGTATGTAACTCAACAAAGAGTAGACTTGACTTAGAAAGAAGGAATTCGTTCATTCATTTTGGTCCTTGAAATCCTTGAGGGACATTTTCAAAACTCCAAAAAACTTTGCCACATAGTAATAAAATCTTAAAGAAATGAAAGTCAGGTGTCTCTGAAATAGGAAAAAAAATGCGTGATCACTTCTGTATACACACCCAACTTTTTAGTAAAGGTTACCTCTTCTTCAAACTCCTATAATTATTCTGACATAATGTATCAATATTGTTTTAGTTATTAGATGTAGCTGCAACAGATCTTTTAAATAAAATCACAGGCTTTCCAGCAACAACTCCACTTCACTTAGTGGTAAGTTACTGTAAACAGTGAATTGAAAGTTACTTATTTTATATTAAGGGTTATGAGTGCCAGCTTTGTTCCCTGCCCTGCCCCTCCTATACTGTGGCCCAAATGCTAAAACACAAAGTCATTTCCAATTCCTTGTCTCTAAGCGTCATAAGATAATATCACCTGATTTTCATGGCCCTGGAGGGACTGTAATAACAGCTTTTTACTTTGTTCGTTATGTATATTATAGTGTCTATTTCTTGGAAGTTTTGGCAATTTTAGCATTAATTACCAACTAATCATTAACCCTTTAAGCCCTTAGAGTGATTTGCATCAAATTTCTCCTTTTAATATCAATGCGCTGTAAAACAGAGTGGTCATGAGAATTATGGACATGATCACACAAGATGAATTTGATTGATTATTTTTCAACTTCTCCCCACTACTTTTGTAGTAAATGAATAGGGGCAACAAAGGAGAATTCAAATTTACACCTTGAAGGGGCTATGTCACAAGGATACTGTTGTTTTAGGTCAATTCTGTGCTGAAGTCATTACTCAATGCCCTTTCCTAAGCACAAAATGTTCCGTTAGAGATGTGAAGAAGATATCAACCAATTTTTGTCAGGGAGCACTAATCATAATAATTTTTTTGGTGATACATGTATCACATGAAAAGTTGAAAAAGTTGGGCCAGTCCATGTGCATCCTTCCTATCTGTCACAACAGATGACAAAAAACAGTTTTAATGCCCAACTGTAGTCCTAATTAACAAATCTGGTCCATTGTTTTTGGAATTCAATTGGTGGGAAGTCGAATTTTGGCTTTTTAGCAAATAACACAACATAACCTTTTTAAAACTGTTCAAAAAGAACAGAAAATCCAAAAGGGACATGGGTGGTGAAACATTTTTAAACAGATTCATTTTCGTAAAAATAATTTGAATGGTTCTGTGCTACATTTATGTATTGTTTAGTTTACTCTTTGTGAGAAATTTTTAGACCTTTTAGTGAGGGTGTTATCTTTAAAACTTTGAGCTGTAAAAGGCTGCAAGGTAATTTCAGAATGATGCCTTTGGAACATTTGAACTGAGAAATCATTGTGGCTCACTTTTGTTTGTTGTGTAGGCTTATCATGGCCATTTTCAAGCTCTTCAAGTTCTTTTAGAGTCTTTTCTAGACATTGATATCAAGGATTCTAATGGTAAGTTGATTTTTGGTGCTCTTTCACACTTTGAATTTAATTACTAGATAAAAAAACTAGATAATTTTATCTGGACATTTGTTATTTTTTTTATAGGTCATACTCCTCTGTATTTTGCTTCTTTTCAAGGACACGCGTATGTATCAGTAGTATTTTCATCCCTCATGATTATGGCCTTGTGGTTGTTTCCATTTGCATTCAATTATGGTACAGTTTTTTCAGATGAGTGGGTCTTGTGAAAAGGTTGTCCTATTTTGCTCGGTTAGAATAGAAACACTTGTCTTCAAACGGAAATTTCCAAATAAATTTTCTGCTATATTTTGATAACATGTTAAAGATGTAAAACAGTTGATTATGTCAATAATTCATAAAACAAAGAAGAGTTTTTGTGATAAAAGCAGCGAGTGAAAGTGTCTAAGTTACAGGGTCATTTGCTGTAATGCTCAGTGTTGAATTTGCCGTAGTTTATCTGCCTGGGGCATCATTTCGGCTCTTTACTTTATTGTACCTGTCACAGCTCCCAAATTAAGCTCCTCTAAGCTCGTCAGTTATCGGTATGAGTGCTTTTCGTTCAGAGATTATCAAGATTTACCTTCAATTCATGTAGCTTCTGCTTGACATAAAGTTTTTTAAACCTTTTGCTTGGTTCCCTTTCTAGTCCGGAATGACAAAATGATGGTCTCTCCTGTTTTCTTTTGCAGCGAATGTGTCGAATGTCTCTTAGAACATAATGCCAAAGTTTTAGTTTATGACAATGTTACCAAGAGAACACCGCTCCATGCTGCAGGTAAAGATTTGTATATACAACGGCACTGCTTCGTTGTTTGCAATAAAAAGAATGAATGTGTTTGAGTATTTTTATAAGGAAGTTCATGTGTGTTCAATTTTTTTTATAGATACCCCTGGCCCTTGTTGAGTCCAGACAGTAAAAAGTTTGTTACACAGTCGAACCCCCACTAACCTTAACGGCCACCTCTCTACAACGGCCATTTTTTTGTCGGACAGTCCATACATTCACTCTTGTTCCAACTTCTCTACTCGGCAACGGCCACCTTTCTATAATGGCCACTTTCTCCTGTCCCCAAGGGGCCTTTGTAGAGAGGTTCAACGGTACCTTCTTTTGGTTTGCAGCTTATAATGGGCACACGGACTGTTTAAGACTTCTTTTACAATACAGCCAAATAGAGGTTGCGATAGACTGTACAGATGCTGAAGAAAGGTTAGTCGTAGGTTCCTTCAGTTCATTTTGTCTTAAGTTGAAACTGTTAGCTTTTAGGGACAACTCTAGCGAACATCCGAGTATGAATCAAGACTAAAAAAAATGTATGCTTTGGGATTGTTCACACAAACCTTGGCTGTGACTTAGAATGATTAATCATACTGCTATAAAAGTCCCTTCCTTGGGCAAGGCTGTGCTTTAAGGAAAAATAAAGGGGGATCATGTGTCTTGATTGCTAGTAGTCTATTGGTAATAATGTGCTCCACGTTTTGTTCTCTTTACAGGACTCCTTTAATGGCTGCAGTTGGCAACGGATTCGTGGACTGTGCCAACCTGTTACTCAGTGAAGGCGCCAATATGTTAGCCTTGGATATGTATCATCGAAGTGCTCTTCACAGAGCTGTAAGCAGCAGCAAGAACTTTCATCATATAACCCTCTTGACTACTTTTCTCCGTAATTCTTTTGTTGAAAAATTAGGGTGGTATGATTTCATCTAATTCTGTGTACACCTCCCGCCCCTTCTCCGTTTTTTTTTTGAGGGGAGGGAAGGGAGGTCTGTACACAGGCTAGGTTTCATCCTTTTGGTCTTTTTAGGTTAAAAGCTATCCACTCTTGAGCAACTGTTAAGCTTCTCTATGTAACCGTGATTTGAAGTTCTTTCGAAGCTACCTTCTTTGTTAAAGGAAATCGTAATCAAGTGATGTGTCCATGCAACTCGAACTTTTCCTCTATTTTACAATACATAATTTTTTTGGAATTCTTATTTGGGGCGTTCTTTAATAGGTGAATAAGGAGAGGGGATCTTTGAGGGGAGCTGAACGAGATTAACTGTACTGCGGTTTGTCTATGACTTCGGTTATTGAAAATAGTACGTGTTTGCACTTTCTTCTAAATTGAATTTTCTGGGAAACTGCCCACCTACCCCTCCCTTAAGTAAGCTGCGAGCAAGCTCTCCTATTTGGGTGAGTGAAGCGAGTCTCGTCTCTCTCCTTTCCTCGGCCCCTCGCTCGCGCGTTCTCGTGAGGCTCACTTCGCTTGCCCAAATAGGAGAGCTTGCTCGCAGGCTATCCCTTAAGCAAACATTAACACTCACTTCTCACTTAGGGCAAAATATTTGCTTAAGGAAGGGACAGGTGGGGTGTTTCCCAGAAACCTCACTTGATTCTTACTTTCGACGAAATGGACAATATTGTCAAAGTGCTGCCAGACATTGAGCACAGCTTAAGCTAAACTGATTTAGTTTCCCTGTTTCTGTTTTTTAAATTTTTCAGGCAGCAAATGGTCACGATGACTGCGCTGAATCTCTTTTACACAGGGAAGCAGATTCTCTTTGTAGGTAGGTTGGATACGAGTTCGTAATTGAAGTAATATGTAGTGTCATTTTTGTTTAATTTCTCCATAAGTTGTCAATTAACTCTTTAAACCCTAAGATCAAAATTTGAATTCTCATTTGTTGCCCATATTAATTTCTTACAGAAGTAGTGGGGAGAAGTTGTTAAAATATCAGGCGAATTCATCTTGTGTGATAATGTCCGTATTTCTCGTGACCACTCTATTTTAGAAAGCATTGATATTACAAGGAGAAATTTGATGATGATCACTCTTAAGGCTTAAAGGGTTAAATAGGAATGCATCACTGGAGTGTTACCCTGTTTCTTACCTTTATGTCCCTCTTTCGTTTTCAGAGATTGCAATGGTCGCACACCTCTTCATTTTGCAGCAGCTTGTGGCCATGTTGGCATTCTCAATGGTCTCTTACAAGTCGTAGGTAGTGGTGTTCACATGGACAATCACGGATACACGCCGCTTCACTGGGCTTGTTTTAACGGTAAGAACTAATGCCCCCTTAGTGCGAATTGAACAACATAATTTATTAGTTGAGGCAAGCATTGTGAAACAGCGCAGTGTTCGTTTTGTTATACCTAAACTAGAATACCCACAGGGAAAAACATTGTTTCTCGGCGTACGGCCAGTTTGTCTGCACACCGGTTCTCCCCTCCGCAAAATTGAGCCCGCAAGGACTCGATATATAATTTTCGAGGCCGAGCACCTTCTTAATTTAGGGTCTGGTAAGCGGGCCCCCACTGAATCCGCCACGGCACAATACAGCTTTTTCGGATTCAGTACGTTTACAATGCGCTGATACTTTGCTTGTTTTGTATTCGGGGTTTTCCCTGTACTGTTTCATGCAGGGATACTTGCGGGATAAGTAAAATTCAAACATGCCGTTAGTTTGACTAGTATTAACCATTTTGAGACTGCGGTCGACGCTGGGTCGGTGTTGTGTCGAGTTGCACTCTGGGACTGTCTTGGGGGAGAAATTTGGTCCAGTGTTCTACGCGACCTCGAAATAGCCAGTAAAAGAAGCGATAACAATCTTAAAACACACCCATTTAATGCCATTTGCAGCACCAACCAGTGTCAGTCGCTCTGTGGCCCAGTGTATTACATATTTTACCGTCTTTGCCAATAAATAAACTGCTTTTAAGAGAGATATTTCTAAATGTTGTTTCATTGACAGGTCATGATACTTGCGTGGATATCTTGTTAGAGGTACGAAATACGTTCTCATCTGCGTGTTCATTTTGTTACAGTTTGTACAGGAGGGGGGGGAGGACTGTACTATCAAAATTTAAATTCTGATTTGTGTACTCTGTACATTTCCCTTAGAAGTAGTAGGAGGAAATTGTTCAAAAAGAATCCTGTAAATTTGTTCTTTTGGCCATGTCATTAATATTCATGATTACTTTGATTCATAAAGCTCTGATATTATTTTAGTACAAGGAGAAATTAGATGCTGATCGCTTTGAAGCTTAAAGGGTTAAGGGACTCTTTTATATGGTGCGGAAATCCCTGTGAACCGGCTCAGTTTCAATAGCAAGTCCCTGTGCTGCTAACTGCAAGCATAAGTACTCTAGTTCACTTCTTGTACAAACAAGATCCAAGTAGTTTTAGACACAGGTCTACTATTAATTTAATTCCGACCGACCGCACGCTCAGACGCGCGCACGCACGCGAACGAACGAACGATGATGTCACGGTTCAACTCGGAAAAAGAAAATATCGAGTTTCTAATGAGATTCAAGCCCATGACCAGTATTGTGGAAGGCCCTTGTCTCCATTTCCGCTGGGAACCCGAAAAAACAACATTACATTTTATAAAATTATAATTATAGAGTAGATCACACTCAAAAAGTGGGTTTGGTTCCACGATGCATTGCTAGCGCTCGCTGATTGTCGCAGTGTTAAGCTGTGATTTTTGAAAGGAAATATTCTGTATTTGTCCTTAGGGAGACAATTCCAAGGCATTTGATGGGAATCCATTTTCGCCACTTCACTGCGCTGTGTAAGTATTTTAGTACGATTACTCATCTCTTGAATGGAATTTCAAGTACCCTTTGTCTCTGTCCTAAATTACTTATCTGTCTTTGCCAATGAAACTGAAACAAGCACTTCATTTGTCCGGCATACTTGGCCACTCACGGGATACAAAAATGATTGCTTTTAGTTTGCTTTACAATATTATGTGGTGCTGTGGCGAGAGCACTTGCTTTCCTCCACCTCGTGGCATGGGTTCCAATTCCAGTAACGGCGCTATAATATGTAGGTTGAGTTTGCCAGTTCTGTTCTGAACGCACCCCTTTTACCATTTCCCAAGCCAGAATGAATTGTTTTCCAGTTATTGAAAATGTATTACCGCGAAGTGACAATATCCGGGTACGTGACCCGTGACGCGTGACGAACCCCTAAGAACGTCTGCGTGGGATGCTACTATCCTGGTACAAGGTTGAGAAGAAACTGAACTAATAGAAAACTGCCATTTAGATACAATTCTATTTTCCCTTTTATTTAGGATAAACGACTACGAATCCTGTGCAGAAATGTTGCTAGATACGCTAGGAGATGAAATAGTCAACATGTGTGATAAAAAAGACAGGTGGGCAATATGAGCTTTTTTGAGTGACGAACGTCAACCGGAAGTAGACTTTTTGCATTCTCGGACAGGGGTTTTGCCCCAATTCTCAGGCGTCTTCTCTTTATGAGTTAAGACACTTGGTGATACAAATTTAGTCGCGTAAAGGCATAGTAACAGGAAAAAGACCACACTTCCATTTGACGTGCGTCGCTCAAAAAAAGTCTTTGCTTAAGCTTCCAAATGATATGGAATCGCACTCTACTTCTTTTAAAGTTAAAAAGCTTGTCTGTTGTAATGTCCTTGTTTACGTTCCATGGTTACACCCTTTTATATTCAACGAGGGGAAATGCGCAACCAAATGGTCTGGTTTTTTTTCTAACCTATTTCAGTTTTGGCTTAAATTTGGTTGTAGTCGGTTGAGTCTTACCCTTGGTGACACAGACTTATCATGCGCGGCTTCCTTTTTCGATCAAGTCACCACCTGTGGCTTTGGTCTTCAGCCAAAGATGTGTCGGCACGGTACAAACACCGCAGTATAAAAAACCCCGAAGACATTCTTGATAGAATAACATTTAATGGAATGCAGCGAACAAACCAGGCGTTGAAATCAAAGCTAGTCTTAGACATCCCATTATTTTTTCTCTGGATGGTTACAGATCACCCTTGCACGCCGCAGCATTTAATGATCAGGTAGAATGTCTTCAGCTTCTTCTGTCCAGAGGAGGAAATGTTGACGCCGTGGATCAGAGTGGTAGAACACCTCTTATTATGGCCGCTGACAATGGGCATGCTGGCGCTGTAGGTAAGTTGGCCCAAGTCAGGGAACAAGAACAAGAAACAGCATACTGTGAGAAAATATGGCTCATCTACTATCTTCAACTTTCCGTGCTGTCTAAACTCATATGTTCCCTTATAGATTCTGCTCCTCCGAGCTTTCCTTTTATAATTTTCATAGAAACCCTCTAGGCGAATTCTGCAATCTGATAGACTAACGTACTCTTTATCTTCACGTGATAGACAATGATAGACAGACCGATAGACAGCTAGGTGTCGTTTTCAAGAAACAAAGAAACTAAAAACAACAACAACACAGCAAATGCAAAAACCAAAACTGTGCCCCCCCTCCCCCACCACCACCATACAAACCTTGGACGAAACAATAGATTTGCACAGATTTCATCCTTGGAATTATGTCGCAAGTTGTTTTGTAAACACTGAGGAGTAAATCTGGAGCAAAGATGGTAAATGCCACATTTGCATACCAGGGGGTGTAAATTACAAGGCAAATGTGGCATTTGCCATCTTTACCCCGTTTTACTCCTCAGTTTTGACAAATTTGCCACATATTTGCAAAGAGCAAATTTGTGCAAATCCATTTTTTCGTCCAGTGAAACGTGTGTAAAATTCCGCCATTTTGCGGAGCTATATCTTCTGAACAAATCACCTTCAAACTTGGCACCTTTACTGATTTCAAGGTGTTCTTTCCAGCCGTCTTGATGGATTTCGCTAGCTACTCCCAGTAAAAAGTTGAAAAAAAAAAAAAAAGGGAAGGGTCTCCTCAAGCTAATTCATGTTTGTTACAAATTAATGATCTGCTTCCTTTGCAGAATTTCTTGTTGGCGATGGTGGAGCGGACATAAATGTAGCTGATAACAATAAAAATACCGCCTTACACGTCGCTTGTAGCCAGGTGAGAAAAACTAATTTTTGGGCCAACGGTGCGTCCATTTGCTCGTAGCTTGAAGTTGGACCGGTTTCAAACTTTGCGGAACAGCTCACGTACTTTCCTTAAAGAACGTAGAATATTCACCCAAAATGCTTCTTGTTCACGCGCAAACTATACTTAAAGTAAACGAAATTTATGTGCAGTTTCACTGCTTGAGTTCGTATTGAAACGACCATGTGTATAAACGACTTTGTATCGGAACGAACAGTTTCCATTTTGACCCCATGGAAGTAGCAGCTTTTACGGGGCTTAAGACCTTAAGGCACCTTAGATACGATCGTTTTGGCTTAGCGCGAGGAATCATTTACCTGCTCCAAATTCGAAATTTAAGGGTTCTAAAATATGACGCTGAAAGTGCGCATATTTTGACTACGAAAATGCTGACTTAACGAATCCGTGAAGTTAACTTTAGCTCATAACTTCAGTTTCTATAGATTTGTACATGGGGTGGTCTTGTTTCTAATCTTGAATTTTCTTTCTCGATTACGTTGTCTTTCATGAAAAACCACCAAACAGAAAGGTGGGTTTGGTCTGCTAAGCTGCTAAGTTTACAACAACGTCATTAATAAATGCTCATGTTCCGCTTCAGGGTAACGCGGCCTGTGCTCTTTTGATCCTGGACAAAATGGAGGATGGCTTTCTCAGTTTGGCAAATAACGCTCTTCAAACGTAAGTAGGCAGCGACAGCTTCGGTAAGAGAAGCCTCCCTCCGTATGCAGCGATAGAGACGCTTGCTCTTCGCATCTTGCTCTTGTTGCTTATTCGTTTACTTACGAACCAATGCGCAAAACGGAAATTTCAGTAAATCAAGTTTGTGATTAAACACGATCAGTAATGAAGTTTGGAATTGTTAAATATGTCCTTTAGTACCAAGTTGTTTGAATATCTGTTAACCTTAATACTGGGTTAACTGCAAACAGAGCATACGAGTACTTACAGTGACTTAACGTGGATTTGCTCCACTGACCTAGCCGTACTGTACCTTTGCTTTGCTTAATGCTGTTGTTTATTGTGGGCGGACAGAATTGGACTACGTTGAACAACGCGTTCGCCCTCTGTCGTAAGCTGCATAGCATATTAGACATGTACCATTTTTACATAGCAGTAAAATTTCAAAGCGGCTCCCTGGCTTTTGTTTCAATAGGCCCTTACACTTATCCGCACGAAACGGTCTGGTACCAGTTGTCCAGGAGCTAATAGCCAGAGGCGCCAATTTACTGACCGAGGATGAGGACGGTCATAATCCCGCTCTCGCTTGTGCCCCCAACCCTCAAGTAGCCGACTGTTTGGCCCTGATTCTGGTTGCTATGGTACCGAGCTTAGGGTCTCCTTTGGCTACGTCTGCGCGTCTGGATAACTCAGAAGACCATTCCGATGAAGAGGACGGTATAGACTTTGCTACGCCTACACATAATGCTACAGTGTGACAAGGTTTCACGGGTCTGCAATTTTTACTCCATCTAGGAACGTTTTATATTGAATTCTAATTACTGAGAAGAAACTAAACGAGAAAATGTACAGTGCGCTCAGGGGATGTCTTTTTATAATTGGTGTTCAGCCCGGTTAGAAATGACGTTCGTATGTTTAAAGCCCTGTGCAAACGGACGCAACATGGTTGGCCAACAACTCCTAACATTGTTGGATGTTACATGTTGCGTCCGTTTGTACACCCTGTTGCATGTTATAATATTGCGTGTTGTTAAGAGTTGTTGCGCAACGTTTGAAACGGGTCAAACTTTTAGCCCCGTGCAAACGAACGCAGCATTTTTGGCTAACAACTCCCAACATTTTCGGGAGTTGTTGCGTCCGTTTGCACGTAGGTTAACAGTACTGAGACCAGGACGAATCAACAATATGTAAAATGTGCTTTGTAACCGTAGACGAAGCGAATAACTACCACGCATCAGTGAAAACGTAAGCCGTGCAACCTCTAAATTTTCTTGAATGACAGGCAAAGACACGCAAATATGCGCTCTTTTGTTAGTTTTTTCTTTTTTAAGCTGAGCTCTCTTTTGCGTATCCCGTTTTGTCGCTGTTTTCATACTAGGCCTTGAGCAGACTAAACACTTGCCCGTTTTCTTTTGAAAACGTTTGTACCTTTTCGCATCCACTCATAGCTTTTCTCGTCGATTTTGCCGTCCACCGGTAAAGCGACGTGACAGAGCCTCAAGTTAAAACGCCTGAGATACAATAAAATGATTATACGACCTGCTGAATTCGCCACTTTAGAAACGAGGGGGCATTAAGCCGAGTTAATTTTCACAAAAACTGCCGGCAGCGTTACTGGGGACGCGCTGGTCAGACATCAGCCATGACCTTTCCTGACCCAGAAGTCTTTGCGAAAGTTAACTCGGAACTAAGGAAACTGGGCAGAGGTAACTTTCGAAAAGACTTCTGGGACTGTAACAGGGGAAAGGAAGAAAGGCTGATATCTGGCGGATACTAAACCTCACGGGAGCGTATTCTTGCAAATTACGCTTCTGAAAACTTCCGTTTATCTTCCATCCATCTATCTAAAGAAGTGTGGACAGCAGGCCTTTGCCAAGAGAGAAAACTGGGTTTATCATATCTACGATGGTGCATCTTATTTGCCCCCCCCCCCCCTCCCCCAAATTTTACATAACCTTTGTTTTCCATTTCTCTTTGGTATTACAGCTGTCCCAAACGAAATTGAAAACAATGCTTATACAAACTTTTGGGGGCAAATAAGGTGCATTATGGGAGATGTACAAGTAGGGTATTCGGGCACTTTTTAATTTGTGAATGACTTGAGCCATAATTGAGTTGTAAAAACAGTGGCCATTTTAGTCCAGTAGTATTTGCCGAGAGGTGTTGCAAATTCTTGGAGGTGAGGGGAAGGGAAGTAATAAACAGTTTCATTTGTTTTAACATTGTAGTGCTTTTTTTAACACTTAGCAAGGCCGAATGAGGCGTGCCTGTACTTAGTTACGCTACAGTTAACAACGTTGCAATTTCCTAGGGAGTTGTTGGTTATGACCACTTAACAGATAGGGCCGCAACTATGCAATGTTTACATAATTAATCTGGTAATGATGTGGTTCTCGATGTCAAATTGTTCGAATTTACGTTTCCCCTGGTCTATTGTTGTAAAGTTCTGAGTTCTGCGAACGAAAAAGCTTAAATTTTTCTTGTAAAGAGTATATTCCACGCATAATGGCCGGCGTTTGCAATTAATTTTTGTGGCCTTTCGTCTTTTTTGTCTGTCGTTGGTAAGCAATAGCCAGAAGAACAGAATTACTACTTTGACCAATCAGCGCTCATTAACCAAATTCCGGACAAATATACGTCATCAGTATGAACTTTTTCGGGCCGAATTGAGGGAGACTGTTGTATTCGCAGGCTACCGATGCATTGTTACAGCCCAACCCGCCACCGT